AACATCTCTAGGGGCTCGTTAGCATCGTTAGGTGCTAATTAGTATCTCTAAGTGCTCATTAGCATCTCTAGGTGCTCATTAGCATCTTTCATTGCTCATTAGCATCTCTAGGTGCTCCTTAGGATCTCTAGGTGCTCATTAGCACCGTTATTTTAACATCTCTAGGCGCTCATTAGCATCTCTAGCTGCTCATTAGCATCTTTCATTGCTCATTAGCATCTCTAGGTGCTCCTTAGCATCTTCAGGTGCTCCTCACCATCGTTATTTTCACATCTCTAGGTGCTCATTAGCATCATTCGGTGCTCATTAGCATCTCCAGGTGCTCATTAGCATCTGTATGAGGTCCTTGGCAACTCTAGCTGCTCATTAGCATCTCTTGGTGCTCATTAGCATCTCTTGGTGCTCCTCACCATCGCTATTTTCACATCTCTAGGTGCTCATTAGCATCTTTCGGTGCTCATTAGCACCTCTAGGTGCTCATTAGCATCTCTATGAGGTCCTTGGCAACTCTAGCTGCTCATTAGCATCTCTAGGTGGTCCTCAGCATCGTTATTTTAACATCTGTAGGTGCTCATTAGCATCTTTCGGTGCTCATTAGCATCTCTAGGTGCTCCTTAGCATCGTTATTTTGACATCTCTTGGTGCTCATTAGCATCTTTAGGTGCTCATTAGCATCTCTATGAGGTCCTTGGCAACTCTAGGTCATTAGCATCTCTAGGTGCTCCTCAGCATCGTTATTTTGACATCTCTTGGTACTCATTAGCATCATTAGGTGCTCCTTAGCATCATTAGGTGCTCCTTAGCATCATTATTTTAACATCTCTAGGTGCTCATTAGCATCTCTAGGTGCTCATTAGCATCATTAGGCGCTCCTTAGCATCATTAGGTGCCCTCTACCACCTCCAGGTTCTCTTTAACACCCAGATCAGCACCCTGCCCCCATGGACCCACCCAGCACCCACCCAGCACCCAACCCACCTTGCTGTTGAGCAGATCGAGGTCTAAATCAGCTTTTTTGGCCCATTTTTGCCAAAAATTGGGATCATCCAAAGCGATGTCGGTGCGGTTTTCCGAGGCGACGAAACTGGCCTGAGGTGGAAGTGGAATGGAAAAGGAGACAGAATTCAGACATACAGAAAAAAGAAGAAAAAAAACACCTAAAAGGATGGGAAATAAGGAAAAAAAGGAAGGATTTTGGGGAGGGGAAACCTTGGCAAAAGTGGAGCCTTTCCCCTCGCTCTCGATGGTGATGGTGGTGGTGCGACGCAGCAGGATCTGATCAATGTCTTCCTCGCAGAACTTGGAGCCTTCATCATCCTCCTCCATGATGGCAGCGTAGGCACCCTTACGAAGGAGGTCCTCGATCTCCTTTTTGGAGAATTGTTGGATCTGTGGGGTGGGGGAAAGGATAAAGGGTGGTTTTGGGGTCTTGGGATCAGCCCCGAAGGTAAATATTGGGATGCCAGTGCTGTGTTGTGGGGTTTTCCCAAGCAAAGTTGCGGTCTTGACCTCAAAATTCTCAGGGAGGAGACAAAATGTGAGGTCTGTTGCTCTTGAAAACCCAAAACTTGGGATCTTCACCCCATGTTTCTCATGGAGATCCCAAAACTTGGGATCTTCACCCCATGTTTTTCATGAAGAACCCAAAACTTGGGATATTCACCCCATGATTCGCTTCGGAAAACCCAAAGCTGGGATCTTGACCTCAAAATTCTCATGGAGGAACCAAAATGTGAGGTCTGTTGCTCTTGAAAACCCAAAATTTGGGATCTTCACCCCATGTTTCGCTTGGGAAAACCCAAAGTTGCGGTCTTGACCTCAAAATTCTCATGGAGAAATCAAAACTTGAAGTCTGTTTCTCTTAAAAACACAAAACATGGGATCTTCACCCCATATTCTACATGGAGAACCCAAAACTTGGGATCTTCACCCCATATTCTACATGGAGAACCCAAAACTTGGGATCTTCACCCCATGTTTCTCATGGAGAACCCAAAACTTGGGATCTTCAACCCATGTTTCACATGGAGAACCCAAAACTTGGGATCTTCACCCCATGTTTCGCTTGGGAAAACCCAAAGTTGGGGTCTTGACCTCAAAATTCTCATGGAAGACCCAAAATGTGAGGTCTGTTGCTCTTGAAAACCCAAAACTTGGGATCTTCACCCCATATTTCTCTTGGAAAACACC